TTTCATACCTGGAATTTTGCTACTGTTATGAATCGTAATGTACATATGCAGGATGGTCTTAGGCGACCCCTGTGAAAGGGTCGTTCCACCCCCAAAGGGGTCGCGACCCACAGGTTGAGAACCTCTGACGTAGACTTTCTTTGTCTTTCACATAGAAATCATCACTTTTAAAGGATTTAAACCAGCGTTCACAAGTATCTTGAGATGGAGCATGTTCACCATAAGCTTCCTGAAGTGTACCATAACTTTCAGCAGCACTTTTCTTCAAAAGTAATGAATTAAAACTTCCCGCAAATGCTCTTTTTTGGCACAAAATTCGACATTTTTAAGTGTAAAAATATCTATGATGTTAACACCTTCAGCAAATTTTACATATGAAGTTTTGAAGCTTGTCAATACAACAAAATAGCATACATATCAAATCGCATATATATCAACATATGTGTAACTCCATAAAAAATCAGCATTAATAACCAGTACACCTGGTACTGTGCTAAAAAGAAATTCATAATAACAACCTTACTTCATATTTTAAGGAAAGTAATGCCCTTACTAAAATATAAAAAGTAATTTATAACAAAGTAATACATTTTGCTCTGTAAATGCTGGGGCTCAACCACACTCAATCTTTCTATCAAGTGTGATAGTAGATCAGTAACATCAGAATTCTGGGAGCTTGTTAGAAATCAAAAGTTCAGGCCCTATTCTACTAATTCAGATGCTGAATTTGAACAAGATTCCCAGGTGATTTGTGTGCACATTAAAGTATAAGAAGCACTGCTAGAAGAAATGTAGTTGTCAGCTACTTTGCACCAATGGGTAGTATCACCATGAATAAATAGGACAGCTGCTAGTGCAGATAAAACAGGTGTTGAATTAGCCATTCAAACACAAGTGGGGGTACTGATGATGAAAAATAAGTTTCTGAAATAACAAACTATTTTCAGTAAAGTTTGAACAAAAATAAAAGTGCAGTCTTATCTCTAAATAGTGGTTGCATTCTATAAAATCTACATCTATATTAAAACTATATTTTGTGTTAAGTCCTGTTTATAAATATCTGACCTTAGTGTCCAGCAGAACGTTCCAGAGATATGGGACGTGGGGCAGCATTCTTTCTACACACGAAGAGTGCTTGGCACCCCGGCATCTGTTCAGTAGTGCCCACCATTCATTAAAACAACTAAAAGCCAACATTGAGTAAGATTGCCCTGGGATACAAATCTAGTAGT